GGCGGACTGGGTAACTGCGGGCCAGGTGGAATGGCATAGGTTACGGGCCATTAAAGTATTAGTGTAGTAATGAAGGTGGCGGGAGGGGAGCTCTGAAGTGCACCACAAAACATTTTAAAGTACTCCTTTCTCGAAAATAAATTACCATACAGTTTTTTTTAAATTGCAGCTGATAATTAAAAGAAACAAAATATACAATCCACACGAGGTGCGTCGCCTATCATTGTATTTCAGCACTTTCATGCTACGACAAAAAATGATAAATTCATTGTAAAACACTTCAATTAAAACAGAATTTTTTAACAACCTAACATCAACCCCAATTAGAGAAACGTGTTAATAATTTATTAATAGTGCAAGAAACTAAATACAGCACATACTTATAAATTTCCAACGGGCCATTATGATCTACAGGCTAGGTGGCAATCGCCACCCCCCCCCCCCGTGTTACAGTCCGTTTTTCCCCAGGAAATTTTGCGTTGCAGTCAATTTTGGTAAAAAAGGAAGGTTATACACTGCCTTTTTTTGAGCTCCGAAAAAAATTGTCTCAGATCGACCCGGAAAAAAAAATTTCTTATAGAATGTGGCCTGTAGAATCCATAATTTCAAACAGTTCCAAGATTGGCTACTAGTTCAAAAGTTACAGCCCTTTGAATTTTTTTTCGAAATTGGTTTCTAGTCTATAACTTTTGATTGAGAAGTATGATCGAAAAAGTACGAATTGATTTGGATTCTACGCACCCAAATTAATAAGAAAAAGTGTTTTCCCGAGAAATTTTGGTGTAGTCGATTTTTGGTAAAAAAGGAAGGTTATACACTGCCTTTTTTTGAGCCCCGAAAAAAAAAAAATGTCTCAGATCGACCCGGAAAAAAATTTTCTTATAGAATGTTATAGAATCTACAGGCTAGGTGGCAATCGCCACCCGCCCCCTCCCGTGCCAGTCCGCCCCTGATAGTGGTAGAAAGGATTGTTTAGCAAATAACTTTTAATTTTACCTTTGAGACTGAATTCATTAAGTGTGCGCCAATTATATGTCAATTTATTGTATAATTTATAAGAAATGTAAATAGATTGAGTTTTTGGCATTCTCTTAAAAGGAATATATAAGTTCTCTCTCGTTCTTGTATTGTGACTATGAATTGTAGAACAAGTGGTGCTGTTTACAATACCATGTTTGTGGACGTGCACAACTGAATGCAAAATGAAAACACATGGCAAAGTTAAAATTCTTAATTTTACAAAAGACAGTTTGCAGTCCATCCAAGAAGTGTATAGGGGCAGGCCGTAGAATTAAGGGATAGAGAATCCTTTAGAGCTACAATTTCTGTTAAATAGGAAAAAATGGAATGGGAGGAAAGCGATATCGCGGTCAAAGTTTGATTGCTCTCAATTAGGTAGCAAAAGGAGGAAATTTTAGAATTAATGGACGAAAGGAGAAAATATAAAAACGCATCAAATCAGCATAGTAGGAATAAAGAATTAAAAACAAGTTAGATAGGGAATGTAGGTTAGTAAAAGAACAGTGGCTCGAGGGGAAATGCGAAGCAATAGAGGCTGAGTTCAATAAAGGTAAAACGCACGTAGGACACAGGAAAATTAAGAGTAGTTCGGATTTAGAAAAACGAGTGGCTCGCGCGAAGCAATATTAACGCTAATGAAGGAGGCATTTGGGATAGGCCAAGGCGCAGAGAGGGGAGAGGGGGATGAGATAGGACTTTGTCGCTTTGTCGCCACAAAACACCTGCTAACACCGTACATTTAGAGTGGAGTACTATACGGATGCGAAACCTGGACCATAGGCAGGGAAGACAAACGTAGGATAGAAGCATCAAAATGTGGTGCTATAGAAGGATAATGATGATTACCTGGATGGACACGGTAACAAACGAATCAGTCTTGGAGCTAGGCCAGGAAAACAAGAAAATGTAGGTCAGAGGGCAAGAGAGTTGCAGGACGACAGAGGCTTAGATACATAGACCAAATAGTTAGGGACGTAGGCAGGGGCAGTTATGTAGGGATGAAAAGATTAGCGCAGGATATAGGAAAGGGTGGAGGACTGCGTCCAACCAATCTTAGGATTGTGGACTCCAAGAAAAAGAAGGAAAAAATGTGTCTACTTTGGTACAGAATTGAATCATGCTATTGTTTTATTTGGACGGGCTATGACCTACTACATTTCGATGGAAAACCAAAATCGACCCTTCTTTCAAACCGCTTGTTTCATGATTAGGAGAGATTTCAAAAGAAAGAAATTGTACATTTTTACATGGATATCAGTGGCGTAAAAATAATTTTCAAAATCACTATAGTTTTTGAGAAAAGGCACAAGAAAGTATTTTTTTGGCCGGTACAGGAGTATGTTTTCTATTCATTTGACCAGTAAACGAATGTTACGTATAAAGCCCATGTACCATTGTAAAAATTTCCTAAAAACGTTTGCTTAAACATGTTCTGGTGTGACAACATTCAGTTTGATAAAAATGACTTCACGTAAAACCACTCTATTTTTATGACGTCACGCAAAACACTTTAATGAAATAGAACCGTGTCTATAATGTATATACAAGCGGTTGTCTGAGTGGATGTTTACAAACCCTTCTTAAGCACCAGCCACCAAGTTAAAAAAAGCGCGCGTTAGACGAATATAACATTAAAAAACTCTGTGTTTGTTTGATTGTTTGTTGCTATACACATGTGTTGGTATTAATATCGACCACTTTCTTGGTTTCGCTTGTTTAACCACGGTTTAACCATCTACGCTTATTTCTTTATTGGACCTTCTGCTTTTAAATAAGTGCAATTCCAATCAAACTTATGTAAGCGGCTCAACAATAAATGCTGATGATCATACAAAAACTGTGGGATCGGCCAACCTTTACAGTACCGGTGCCCATAGTAGCAAACTTGTTCATGGAGAAGTTCTGAAAAATGATCGTTTGATTACGTTTATTTAGCTAGAGTACGTAATATCAAGTATCAACAAGGTATAAAATATTTGGTTAAGTGGTAGGGCCGTTTCCAAGATTTTTGTAAAGGTTTTTATTTATATATATAAATCGTGCTGGTTTTTTAGAAAGGTTCCAAAGTTCCCAAACAAACATCAGGAATGGTTAAATAGTCCTAGACAAATCCTTTGCAATAATTTTTTTGTAAGCATTCGAAGTGGGTCGGGCCAATTTCACAGACATGTTGCATCACTTAAGAACCCTTAATGAACCCGTTATTTTTGAACGTCATTCTTTACAAAACAAATAAATATTATAGTGTCTTGAGGTATTATATACGTCTATGTGAACTCTCTGGTTATTTTAATTACCTTAAAATTAAATTAAACGAATTTAAGGGCTTTTAGGTGCAAAGGAATGTAATTTCCGAACTTTCTCCAGACACTACGCGAAAGTGAGCTCTTTTAATTATTAAATTTAATTCCGAGTTATCATCACTATGTTACACATACGCTATTCGCGTAGAGTCTGTGTCTCCATAATATATAGCTTTGCGTTCCGTTGTTAATCAATGATTTGAAAATTATAATTTCCAAAAAATTGTATACTTTCCATATTACGTATGTTAGCAAAAGGTATGTCAAAGGAAGCGGTAACAATATTTTATTGACAAGTAGAAACTGATTCATAAATCACTACATTCTCACTGTGCTCTCTGTACAGTCTGTATAGTAACAATTGTATGAAAGAAATATGTGTTGCCCTTTCTTGAAGTAGTAGACAGCCAATAGCTGATGCCTAGTTCCCGATGCCTGCAATTTCTTAAACAGATAAGGTAATGGTAATGAAAGGGTATAAGCTACGGCTTATAAATTAAATCATAATTCATTAGCTCGCAATTCGTGTACAATTTAATTTGATGAATAAAGCTAAAGGTCGTCCGATCTCTCCAATACCTGGTTGTCCTTTTAAATCCCATGTATAAAATTTAATTTAAATTAGATAAAGGCTCTATACATGTTGGGTTTGCAATATCAAAAGCGCGGAAATAGCTCGTCATTTTGGTGATATTTTTGAATTGAGTCAAATTAGTGGGGAGAGGCAGTAAGGCCCACAGACAGAGCAATGAGCTCTAAACCTGCTATAGTTATTTTTCAATCTCCCAATTATTTGTTTGCGGGAATGAATAACTAAAGTTATACGCATTTCAAAACGCCATAATTCTTCGTTAGTGTGAATAGTCAAAGAAATGCTTTTGTATAATGTTTTCTCTTTTGGCTGATTTATTGAAGCGCAACAGAAATATTTACTTAGTTCAGAGGAGCGTTAACACTGAGTTGGCTTTTTTCCTTCACTGCAGACAAAGTGCACTTACGTAGAGTAGAATTCCTTGATCCATTTTTGCAAATCTGTTTTTGATATTAGTCATTAGCTATTTTGCATTATAATCGAAATCAACAGATCAAAAGGTTAGTTACCTACGTACATCTACACTATCAGTGTGATAAGTAGAGATTATAAAGGATTTTCTAACCAAATAGCAGTGATAAACGAGAAAGGGGATTATTTCTTGAAGTAGGGTATTATGAATTATAAAATTATGTCGTAATGCGCTAAAAGAGCACTTACGTCATTTGAATAAAATAATTGCATGGAAGTGTACCATATACAAAAAATAGATTGGAAACTTGCAAACATTAAGGTCCAGTAAAAGTTAATGATTACATCTCATTCTTGACATGAAGCTTAGACATTATTACATTTATAAATCGTTATCACGCTCAATTTAAGAGGGAAGGGTTTAAATGTTAAGACGTTAGTATTATTGTTTTGAATATTAAAACAGTGTAGGTACGTAGTTTCTTAATGCGTACAATTCAGAATAATTCTTCCAAGAGATTTACTAATAAAATTATTCACGTGAAATGTCTAAAGCATCTCTAAATATATAGCAGGAAATGTCTTGAAACACTCATTTTTTGTAATAAGACGTGTATGTACTTATTAGTTAAAACTTAAGTGTTACTAAGCTAAATTTTATGGTACTGAAATTCGGTGTGTAAACAATTGATCGTAATCGGAGAAGCGCTTTTATTGTTGTGTTTGTCAAAATGTTGAACGGAAATGAAAAGCGAAACGCTTAGGGGGTTGGAAAAGTTTGGGAGTCTGTGCAGTACGCAGTATGCGCGTTTCGCGGTGATCGGGTAGTTGTATCGGTGTTCCCGTATCTTAAAATATCAGTGCCAAAACACGAGATATGTTTTCCCGTTACTGTAAACTTAGTTTTTTTTAATTAAATCTTAAAGTTTTACGCTGAAATGGCTAAACAAACAAATAAACGCTTTCAGAACCGTGTTATTTAAACAACGTACAAAGACAAAGTACTCTAATTCGAGGTTTAATTAAATTTAATGTTAGATGACTTTTGCAATTACCAACGCTCAAAAAGTTGATTAAATTGTACATGAACTTTTTCGGATAAATTGCGAATTAATTGGCAGTAACAAATAAAATTCTTCTTAAGCCGGTAAGTGTAATGGCAAATAAAGTTTTTAGCATAGTTGAGAATAAAAAGGGACATTAACGAAGTGCGAACAGATAAAAACATGCTGCATGCGGCCCCGTGTTTACAATTTTGAATTCACGCTAAAGTTTTTCACTATACGCTCAGACCTTAACCGAATCGGGCGTGTCAGAAAAATTCGTACTCTTTACAACGAGACAGAGCGGCGCCAAAACCATAGCATTCTTTGCAGAAACACCGAAATATACGGAATAAGTGTAAAGATTTCCAAACGGCTCGAATTAGTAGCTTATATTTTATTTGAAGACTATGTAAAAAGTGAGACAAAATGCCACCAATTTGAACCGATCTTTGCTCTTTAAAAGTGATAAAAAGGCGTAAAAAGTGTGAAAGTGAAGGATTTTAAATTTACGTCAGCAATAAAATTTAAATTTTTTACACTGCTTCTATTAACTAAAGGATTTCATATAAGCACCGCAAGTCTGCTATGTAATTAATAGTTGAATTCGAATTTGTAGGTTTGTTAAAGGCAATTATTAAAGCAATGGGCCTCAGCATAATAATCGCCAATGAAACCCTTTCATCTTTTGAGGAAATACATTCAAAAGCATTCTCAAATTGTTTTATGACTTCTAAATAATATTAGCTACTTCTATTGCCCTCCTTCTCTAAAAACTTCTCCAAGCACTCAAAGTTTCTTTAAAAATCGTCCTTAGATCCGGCTACGCATTAACCGCAATTTTCCGTAAGTAAATGAGTATATTACGATCATAGAGATGCTTTCACCGACAGTTTAGAAACTAATTAATGTTGCCCAAATTTCATATCGCTCATCAATCGTCCACAAAATGATGCTTCTAATTGTTTGCAAAGACTGATTGATAGCAAAACCCTAATGTCAATACAAAGCACGTTTCTTTTGTGTTGCAATAAAATAGTGTTTCTCAAGTTTTACGATACATGAAAATAGAACTTGTTAGAAATCTAAAAACGGTGTAATTTAGGTATGTTATTGTTGCTTAGATGCCTCTGTTAATGAATAGCTGGAGGCCCACGGAATAACACATCAAATTTAATTTTAACTACCACATGTGGTTAACGTACTTAGTTATCCTTTAACGATCTGTTAGAATAGGTTAATTGTAAGCCCGGATGATGAGTAAAGGGCCCGGCATTAGCGTTACATTTCGGGATTGCACTAATTACGCAATAAATATGAAATTTGCTTTCGCTTCGTACTTGAGGACGTTGGGGTTGTCCTGTAACGACCGATCCATACTCTTATGCATGCTATGTTAGATAGTCTGTTGGATGGACATGTTAAACTTGCTGAGACGTTAAACAACAAGACACTAAATTTAATAATCATAATACTAATCGTCATTTATTGGGATAACGGAAACAAAAACAAAATAAGAAATATTAAACAATTAAAAATTAAAAAACCAAAAGGGCGAAGTTCAGAATGGTAGTGTAGTTCTACCACTTAACCCTACTTCTTTACTTCTTCTTGATTAGTCGTAATTGCAAAAAGTTCATAGGATAAATTAAAAATGAGTGAAATGTAGAAGAAAAAAAATCAAACAAATTAGCATTAGTAAAAAAAAAGTTAACGCCGATCATATTAAGAAAAGAGTCAGCACAAATATTAAGAACTCAACTGAGGTTGCTGCTGTTGGTATAATATTATTTTTAAGTTTCTTCTGAAGGGAGACGGGAGGTAGTTATATATTTTAGGTGCATTTTAACTAAACGATCTTTGAAAAAGAGCGGTTTTTTGTTTTAGAATTGAAATGAGATTTTTTGTTCTTGTATTTACGCTGTGCACGGAGGTTCTAAATTGAATTTTGTCAAGCAGATATGAAGGAGATTTGTTTTGAAGTATTTTATGGATAAAACACGCACTATTTAACTCACGATGATTTGCCATATTCAGCCATTGTACGTCCACTAACTTATGTGATATTCTATCGTACTTTTTCAGGCCAACATTAGACGAAGACATGAATTTTGTATGCGCTGAAATCTGAATTCTTCCGACGTCAAAGGTATCCAGACGCGTACCGTATATATTGTCACAGGTGAATTGACACAGTACCAAAGATTCACATAGCATAATCTTTAGTTTCCGGTTTAAGGTAGCATCTCAAATACACGCTCAATCCGGTTCTAAAGAAAATGTACTAAACATTGTGCTTGCACCTGCATTTCTAGCATAACGGAAATGGTCATCATATAGACAATACAGTTGGTTTATTTGTAGAATTCGTCCGAGCAACAGCCAGTAAGTACAATAATACACCGCCGAACACAGTAACACTGCTAACTTGAAGGAAATTCAAGGAAACCAGCGAACAAAGTAATTATCATGGGATTTGTTGTCGAACATTTTATTGTCAGAGTATTGCTAACAAGATCGTTCATTTTACGTGTTCTCTAGGTAAGCTTTATAAGGTAACGTTTGGCGAATCAACTTTAGCGAAGTGCCAAGTGTAGTTTTATAGGTTCCACAGAATAGAAATGTGCTAAATTCATCTAGAAGAGCCGATTAAAAATTAATCGAAATTTAAAGTCAGGGTTTAGAATCATACAAAAAACCAATTAGAAGTTTTCATTTTTAAATTTAATGCTTCTGTTATACCAAGCGGAAATATAGCTCCTTCGCCATCACATGCCAGCACTTAATCGAAAGACTCTGACTCGGACTTCTAAATGAAATAGGTAATAATTGCAACATGAAATATTAATTTCTATGACATTGAGGAACCAACAAATAAATCAGTGACTGAGTGAAATAGTTTCTCCTTCTCGCGCTCTGCTTTTAAGAGTTTTAAAACCTTTAAAAACCTTCGACCTTCTCACACATCGTCTGGCAACTGAAAGCGGAATATGACAAAAGCAAGTTCCGGGGTAAATGGCAATAGAAGGTGGCTATCACTGATTAAAGGATTTCACTTGTTGAAGTGTATTTAGGGATCGCAACACAATAGTTTGCGAAAATGAAAATGGGACATTTGATGCTGATTGGCTAAAATTAAAGCTAAACTACTTGCATCCAAATGTATTCGTCTGGTCTACGAATACTATCTAGAAATTTCAGCAACGAAGGAGCTTATGGTGTCATCGAAATTAATCTAAGGCATTTCATGGCACGGAATGAATTATATCAAGTAAATGCCATTCAGACTTTAACAAATTGTAACATAAAATCTGTACGTTCAGACGAACTTTTGGTAAGCGAGGATTCTCACTACCCGAGCTACGTTGCTATTTTGAGTACGTGAAATACCCAGAGAATCGTAAAGCTTGTTTCAATACAGACAAAAGTGCATTTTAAAAAAATATATTACGGGATATCTATAGGTGATTAGTCGATCCTGTTTTATAATGTTTTGTAAGGATTGGGCGGTTCCTCTACACGTGAATAAATGCTCTAAGTTTGAGATTTGGTTTAATAAAGAAATTATCAGTGGTCTTAGGCATAAGGAGAAACTCGGGAAAAAAGTAATGGTAGAAAGTACACTCCTCCTCAGACAACTTGGCGAATGGGTTTGAATCAGTTAAATCTTTGAATATAAAATATATTTACCGTTATTTACTTACCAAAGGCATGGCTGAACAGCAATTGGGGATGATCAAATACTGATGTATGTGTTAAAGGGTTGTGCAGATTTCTTGTTGGAACCACTATGTTTCATTTACAATTGGTCTTTAAGTAGTACCCTCTACTTTTTAAATAACCCATTGGCGTTGGGAGATACTAGGGGACAATGGAATCTTCTTAATCATTAATCAGGTATTACGTAACAATAAAGGTACCTATAAATAAGATATATAATGAGAATATAATTCAGGTAATGGCATTGCAAATATTTTGAATGCTAATTTCGTGTAAGCTCCGAAAGATATTATTCCAAACAGTTTTCCCACAGTTATACCATTAATACAAATACCGAACGATATCCATTGATCGTTAACAGTAAATCAATATTTTTCTTGTAGTTTCGAACAAAATAATTTCAATAATTCGAAGTATGGCAAATAAAAGATCAACAGGACTAGATAACATATACAGCGTAATACTTAAATCAATAGGCGACCTAGTAGCAGGCCAAGTATCATGTCATGAATGTAAGTTATACAACTAATACCTTCCCTAATGTTTTAAAGGAGCCTGTCGTCATTCCTGTATACAAAGCGGTACTAACTGGATGAGTAACAGGAGGTACTTGCAAATTGCCTGTTTTGTCATAGAATAATAATTCAAAAATGTCCAAAATATTTTATATAGCATTCCGATGTTCATCATCTAAATTTACGATTTAGGAATTTAATTACGCCCCCAAATCACAGAACAGCATTGCTCGAAACGTCATTCAGTTACACAGTCCACAATATTTATAACTGAATACTGCAACTTGAGACTTGTACCTTTATGCTTTTAATGGTAAAATCAAATAAATACTATTATTATTTAAAAAAAGGCGTTGGAGCGGGGTGCTATAGATTTTCCCAGATTCTTCAGCCGTCGAACTGGAATGTAAGAATGAATAGTGTTTGGGGTGGGATCGCAGATAATGGAGTTACGTCACTGATGGGAAGATTGCGGCTTCAGCATTCGTCTCGTAAATTTTTGTATATTGGGAAACACTAAGGAAAACCCCTTGAACAAACCTAGGCACTGCAATCTTCAGAAAATTGGTCCGATTAAATGTAAACGGCTGGTGAAGTGAACATATTGAAGCGATTCTTTATGAAAGTAATTCAATTAAATGCACAAACAATTGTAGATTTTTGTTTATGCTGCTGCATGCTTGCTTAACGTCACGTCACGTAAAGGAAAAGAATAAGTAATACATTTGGGTGTTGTCTGCGTACATGTGTATACGTAATTCCTTGATACAGCTTCCAATGCTTGACGTATTAATCGCAAACAAAGTAGATCCTAAAATGGATCCTTGCGGATCACCGCTGGTGATATCCAAATATTTGGATTTATTATT